AGACATGAATCAGGCTGAGAACTTTTTAGCACCCCTAGAACCAACTAACATTATACAGTCCCACATGTCACATAAGAAGCTGAATTCTAACAGGCCAATCAAATGTAAACAAAAAAAAATGTGAATAGCCATTTAAGGAGCTAACTTTAAAAACCAAATTCTTAGAACATAAATTAAAAATGTACAATTACATAGAATTTATCAGACATTATTTCAAATCCCTCAACATGTTTTCAACACTAAAATGCATATTTACACCTTTTTTTTTCATGAATCCATGAATTATAAACACCTGTGAGTTATCTTGCTTTTATGATTTTCAGTTGCGTATATGGCACATTTTGCAAATAACACTTTTAGGTAAATCTTCTACCTCATTTAAAGACTAAATTATAAAGTTTGTTTAACAAAAATGGTTAACAAATGTGTTGCATTTGGCTGTTCTAGTCACATTTTCTATTCCTCTTGGAAGAACCAACCTTGTAGAATAAAAGGATAAAATTCAATAATCTTATTAATTGGTTATCTACAAAAAATTCAGTTGTCTGTATAAAACATTTTGAAGAGAAATTTATTTTGAAAAGTAAATGAAACAAACTGAATTGAGATTTGCATCCAATATGTACAATACATTCAGAAAAAAATAAGAAAACTATCTCTTTTGCTGAATACAAGGGAATTCAGAAAGCCTCCAAAACAATGACTGGTCCAAACCAATGAATTACATGATTTTATTTCAGCTGATACGATAAAGGATTTTACTCAATTGAAAGAAGTAATATGTTATTCTAATGGTTTTGAATTTAAAAAACGTAAGATTATATTCTAATTTATAGAATACTCTTTGATTCTGAAACATTTTCCATCTATAAAAAATGTATTCACATTGACCAAAACCTTCTTGTCCAGCTCCAGTATGACAGAACCCTTATACCATTAGCATATTGGTTTATACATGGACATAATGATAAACTTACAAGATTTAGCATGTTAGAAAATTTTCCAAACGATATACAAAATGCATAATTAATCCATTATGACTTACTAGTGTGCCGATACATATCAATAAGTGTACAAACTACTTCTGGACAAATTCCCATTACCATCTTTTTCTTTATTAGAAAAAATTAATTAATTAAGCATTTACTATGTGAAATGCCTTCCCTGGTCATCATAGGCAATGATAGTGATGATGCTACAGAGAAGCAGTATTTTGACTTACTTTTTCAAGGAGGTCTTAAAGTTCCATCTAGCCAAATGGCAGAGTTTGTGCTTGTTTTTCTATACTTTACTATACAGATAAATTTATTATAAAACATAATGAATCCATTACAAGAGAGTCTGCTGAAAGAATTTTGGAAACCTCTTCTCCAAATATGTTTTTACTTGTGAAGAACACACAGGAAAAGAATTCACTTTGCAGCAAAATTGATGCGAATATATTTTACAACAACAAATGAAAGTTTTCATTTGATGAAGTTCAAAAAAATATTGTAGAATGTTTTAAAAAAAGGCAAAGTTCAAAATAAAATTCATTTATAGAGAAACTGTTGGTAATTTTTTTTTTAATTCTATTTGCTTTATATTAGTGTTTTATTCTTTTATAACTTTTTTGTTTGTCTACAGTGTCTTATTATTATTACTTTTCTGTTCAAAAAGAGGAAAAACAACAACTATTTTGTGTATTTTTGGAGGTTTTAACATGTTTTAATAAAACAGACATAAATTGACTATAAACCAATTAGGCCTGTTAGAAATTAGCCTGAAATGTAACATGTGGGGCCATAGATGAATTCCAAAAGCTAAGCAAAGCATTAAGAAACAGGAAAATTTCATTGGAAACAAAGTAATGAATGTTGAATTGCTATGCAATTTCAATCTTCTTATATGGCAGTAAATTCTGGACAATTTTCTCACACAGATGGCTCTACAAAAGAATATCATGGATGTAGCATGTAAGCAATGAGAAAGTTTTAAGAAAAAAGAAATTAAACGACAGTTATAGTTGGAATCAGGAAGTGATTGTAATTTCTGGAACACATAATGAGGAAAGAGAGTATGGAAAATTTGACACTCATAGGGCATATTGAAGGCAAGGGGTATAGAGGAAAGCAACAAGTAATGTACCTAACACACTTTTGTAAATGGATAGGAGAACAGGAAAGTGTAAGGGTAGTAAAAACACAAACATTCCTAAGAGTGATGAAGGAGAGTTTGGGAGAGACATAATGAAGGAACGTGGCATATAGAAGTAGAAGAAACATGCCAACTTTTCATGGTAATTGCTTTTTCCAGTATTGATAGGGGTTTTCCTTCCTTAGTCTTTGTTTGAAATAGTATAGAATGTCAGCATCTTGATTATGTCATTATTTTCTCTACTCCAAAGATCATCAATTGTCAGATACATTTAGATTTGTGAGGCAGACGTCATACTTATTATAAAACCCAGGTTGTGTGTGTGTGTCTGTTTGTTTATATATTGGATCGGATTTCTTACATTTTTCAACCGATTTCAACAAAACTTCACAGGACTATGTAAAATTACCTTGCAGTGGTTCTGACAGCGCCAAAAATTGGAAAAGCACAATTGTTTTTGCACAAAATCAATTTGAAAACACAATTAAGCGGCATTGCTGTCATGAGAATGAAAGGGGGACAACTCATATCGAGTTATACTTATTATAAAAGCTAGGTTGTTTGTGTTTGTGTGTTCGCTTATATATGGGATTGGATTTCCTACATTTTTCAACCAATTTCAACAAAACTTCACTTTTTTTTGGCAGGTAATGTTTCTTATTGTCTTGCACACTTTTTTCTTTATTTTTACATTCAGAATGCTTTAAAAATTCCATTTATAAGACAATTGTTTATAATAAAATTCTATTCAATCGGTAGACTCATAATGATTGAAAACAATGGTTTTGTTTGAGTTTGACCAATTCATAAAAAAAAAAAAAAAAACTAATTAAGACATGCGTGTCCGTCAACCGTAAACAATAATCTTTGTCAATTTTATTTTTCAGTCTTTTTTAAATGTTGAACAAATCAGTTTTTGAACAGAAAATTTGAGAGGAAAATGCCTTAGTTCTCAAACAAAATTGCCGAACTAAGTTAACCTGAATTAAATCATTTCTGAGTCGACCTCAGTGTTGTATACATTCATGTGTTGTGTTGTGCTTTTTTTCCATTTTTATTGTACTGTGACTTTTTTTTTTTTCTACATTGATTCCTATTGAAAAAATAGTTTCAGTTTAGGAACATTTTGGGTTATGAACAGCCTTCAGGAATTAATTAAGTTTGTGAACCGAGAAGACAAATTCTGAGGTTCTTGATAAAATCCAAAGAAGAATCTGCAATGTTATTGGTCCTTACATGGCATTCCAGCTTCAGTCAATTTCTCACTACCATAATGTAACTTCCCTCTGCCTTTTCTATAAATACTTTATGATAATTGTTCTGATGAACTGTTGTTCTCTATGGCACCTAGACTCTATGAATTTAAGCACAGTACTAGATTTCACAGTTGAAATGGCTAGATGTAACTGTATGTTCTATGCTAATAATTACTTTTTTCACACTGGTTTTTTACTTTCCAGTCAATTTTGATCTTTAAAAATATAAATGAAATATAACTCATCATATCTCTTGATTTCTGTCCTTTTATTGTACTCTCTCCTTTTATAATGTTCTTTTTTTTTACATATTCACTCACATTCAGTAACCACTTGTGTGACTTTATTGCCTTCTTGGGATGAAATGATTAAAAAAAAAACTATCAAGGCAATCAGTTATAATGAATATGAAAGCTAAAATGCCCTTTCCTATCACACAGGTACAACATTTTGATGTACCTGTGTGATAGGAAAAGAGTAAATAATTTTCTTTCCTTCTTTTTCTTCGTCATTAGCATATGTTTCAGCTGATAAGAATGGGAATATTATTTTTAATTTTTATTTTCAATCCTGTGCCCCTGCTGGGAACTTCCCCATAGATGCTTAACTTTTGTGATTAAGTCAGAAACCAATTTTATAAGCTGCACATATTGTTACTTTACTGCATCTATTGATTTTATTGTGCTTTTTTTCTTTTTCTTTTTCTTAATCCTTTCTTCCCAAGCAAGGCAACAAAGCCACTAACCTAAGCATTAAAAAATATAAGAAAAACATCATTAAGGATTGAGAACAATAAAAATGAGAAATTAAATAGACAGAAGATAATTATCAATTCATTTAAACATGAATGGAAAACATGAAACTGGAAGAGAGTTCCTTAAGGGAGAAGTGTGAGAAAAGAAACTGTTAGCATAAAACTTACAGTTACGTCTAGCTATTTCAATAGTAATATAATGAGTTGCCATATGAAAATTGTACAGCAAAGCTTGACAGAAGAAATTATCAGGTCTAATGTTCAATTAACAGTACTGCTTATCTTCTTACAAGACAGAGGTACCTTGAGTTGGGTTTCTTTATTTGGTAATCATATTTGGTTGATATCTTTGTATCAATTCTCTTAGATAATTCAGACCATTCCATAATGACAATGTCTGATAAACAAAACCAAATTGACAAGAGCCTTGAAAATTTTAAAGAGACATTTACACTGTTCGGACTATTGTCCTCATCTTCATTGCTATATTCACAATGTTTCAGCCATTACAAATTTGTTAGAATTTGAAACTGAACTCTTTATTTAATTCCATGTGCCATACCTTTGGATATCTCAGTCTTAGTTAATTTCGCTTGATAATACACTCTACTGGTATCAGGGTTTGAACTCACAGTTAAGTTATTTTTTGGATCATCATGACTATGTGTCCTTAGGGACATTTATCTGATTATTATTAAATGCAAAAATCTTGTGATTAATTTTCAAAATATTTCTCTTTCCTATAAAATACAAACACAACAGCAACAAAAAATTATCTCTGCATACCAATTTCATCTGTTAATATAAGTAGTGAGATTTTATCCATCCCCAGCTTGCTAGGCCTGTTGTATAGCTAACAATACCTGGTATTCTCCAGCAGTCACCCATCGAAGTACTGACCAGGCTCAACATTGCTTAACTTTGGTCATTGGATGAGTACTGGTGTTTCAATGTGATATGGCCATAAGCACCATTACCAAAAATCTTGGCATCTTCGCTTCAGTCACTTTCTGCTGCTGTCATGTAGCTTCCCTGAGTCTTTTCTCTAAATACTTTCATGGTAATTTTTTCTGCCCTCTTTTGTTTCTTGACTTCATGGATTGAAGTGTTGTACTAGATTGGCAGATAGGTTTCATCATTTTACTGTTAAAATTGCTAGTTCTATAAGATATTGCCCAAATTCTATGCTAATAGCTTTTTTCCTACACTCGCTTGTAGAACTCGCTTCCATCTTTCCTGTCAACTATGATTTTTAAAAATTTAAATGCAACATCAGTTGTCATTTTCTGTTTCCTTGAATCATGTTCATTTAATGTCCTCTCTCCTCGATAATGTTTTTCTTAGTTTCTCTTATTCTCAATAACCTCTTTCATCTTAGTGGCTTTATCACCTTTCTTGGGGTGAAAGGATTTAAATAATAAGAAGTGGAAGTAAAAAAAAAATGGTAAAATATTTTATTACTCTATTTATTTTCTTCTTTTATTTTCATTTCAAGCACTAAACATTTCCTGGGGATGGGTTTTATTCATATTGCTAGCTCTGCGAGTCATTAGTTTAATCTAGCAAACACTTGTGTTCCCAGATAAAAATCATACTTCTAATGCAATAACCATTATTTACACTTCTAGATGAACAGGACAATTTTGGTATGCCTCCAGCAATGTAAATAATTACAAAAACAAAACTTTTGCTATGAAAGCTCCTAAGTGCAAAAACAACTCCTTGTCTCAGCTCACTGTGCTAACAAAAGCCACTTGTCTTGGTGACTTCAAAGATAAAAGGATTTCCAGTCAATCCTTCAAAAGGTCCACATTTAAACAAATTAAACATTATTTTTTCCTTCTTCTGCTTATCTTTATTCTCAACATTATGATTTTTATCAGCACCATCATCATTATTTTCAATATCATTATCATTCCATTGGGAAATTCAGCCTAATGAGCCATATAACAAAATTTATCATTTGAATTCTGATGAATAGAGCATGAAGCAAAATAAGACCGGCAATAGGACAAGAACAGTGCAGGTTCGTTAAAGACACTGGAACAAGGAAGGTGATATTTATGCTCAGAATGATATCAGAAAGTTCAATATAAATGCAGAAGTGTGTGGATCTATATTTTATAGATCATACAAAAGCATCTGACTCACAAAGAACAGTTGTAACTGTTAGGTAACCTTGACATATTTGGGAAGGATATTAGAATAACCGATAATCTATACTGGTAGTTAATTGCCTGCATATGGATAGAAAATAAGTGCAGTAAATATACAAAAATAGAAAAGGGTGTAAGACAAGTAAGTGAGATTTCACGGGAGTATAGTCAGGTGATTTTGAGAGAAATAGAAGTATACCAGGATTTATTATTGGCAGCCACAATCTTATAAACATAAAATATGCAGATGACACTGTATTACTAGTAGGCATAGCAAGAGACCTACAAGAACTCCAACAGAAGATAATGAAGGAAAATGAGGACTAAACATCAGTTGCATGAATGAAGAATGAATGGTTGTTAGAAAAAGAAACAAGCCAAGAAACATATCAACATATGAAACATCCATTACAAATTGGAAATACCAAAATTAAACAAGTACAACAATTTAGATATCTGGAAAGTGCTGAGGAGGCACAGTGGAATAATGGATAGTGGCTCGGATTGAGGAATCGGAGAGCTGAGTTTGAAATCTAGTTGAATCCATTATGTTCACTTATGTGCTAATACCCTTGGGAAAGATATGAATCCTCTACTTCTCTCACAGCAGGACAGACAGAGTTCTATAGTCTTGGATGGCAACTGGTCTACCACAGAAAGAAATGACAACCTACACAAGGAAAAAATCTGCCTTGTCAGTCATGTATCAAAAGATACATGAACGCCTAAGTGTATATCATGTATGGTACATGACTGACTGTTTTAACAGAGAATGAAAAGTGCATCACTTAAATCTGAAGGTGTACTGGGATAACAAAAGTTGCCTTCCAAGAAACAGAAAAATTTCATTAGAAAGAAAAGTAGACTGAACTTTTATGTAATATCAGTCCTCCTGTATAGCAGTGAATCTTCCAGATGGAAAAGAGACTTGAGGCAACAGAAATATGATTCTACAGCAGGATGTTGAGAATACCATGAAGTGAACTTGTGAGCAATGACAAAGTTTTAGAGAAAACAAAAAGAAAAAGGACACTTATGCTTAACATTAAGAAGAGAGATTTGAAATTTCTAGGGCACATAATGAGGAAAGAGAGTTTAGAAAATTTAAAACTCACAGCATACATTAAAGACAAGAGGTACAGAGGAAAACAACACATAACCTACATGGTGAGCTTAATTAAATGGAACAAGGTTTTGGATTGATAGCAAAAGGACAAAATTTATTAAGAGCTACAAAATATAGGAAATTGTGGAGAGCTATAATCACCCTTTTGAAGGGACATGACAAATAGAAAAAGAAGAATTAAATACTTCCTCTCTATCATCACCATTGACAGTTTCATAATATTAATAATAATAATAAATGCCCTGATGCTACACCAGGCATGGCTCACATGGCTTTTGATCTTAATTAACTCGGTCAATTATGATGGGCTACAGTAAACATCACATTCAGTACCACAGAGTTGCTGTAAGTTGCCTGACCATAACTATTTAGGGACTAACAAACTGTGGTGCCTCTCTATTCCTATGTGCATATGTGACTATATTTGAGGAGCATCATGGCTGAGTATCAGGAAGTTTGAAATATGAAGTAGCCAAAACAACTTGGAGGTCACAACCTGGGATCACCATGTCACACACATTTGTCCAAGATACATGTACAATGGTATGTCATTGATGATGTTCTTTTTCTTAGTAGTACACACTGATCAATGATATAAGCACAATTTAAAACTTCACATTTGTAAATAAAAGCAAAGTACAGATAACTTATCATATCTCCTTGATTTCTGTCCTTTTATTGTACTCTCTCCTTAATAATGTTTATTTTTACATATTCACTCACATTCAGTAACCACTTGTTGGGATGAAATGTTTAAAAAAAACTATCAAGGCAATCAGTTATAATGAATATGAAAGCTAAAATGCTATTTTCCTATCACACAGGTACAACATTTTGATGTACTTGTGTGATAGGAAAAGAGTAAATAATTTTCTTTCTTTCTTTTTCTTCGTCATTAGCATATCTTTCAGCTGATAAGAATGGGAATATAATGTTATATAATATAATACTATATTATTATAGTCAGGGATCAATTTGACATTGTATTTAATATTTTTTTTTAATCAACTTCACCCCATGCAAGGCAGTAAAACCATTAAGACACAATGGGTTCCTGGGCATGGAAGAATTAGAAAACAGAAACATTATTAAGAAGCAAGAACAGAAAGATTAATCAGGAAGACAGGAGATAGTGATTGACATTGAATTTCAATTTTTGTAGATTCAAGTTAGCTGGAGCCGCAAAGAAAGTTTCACAAGTGACAAGTGTGAGAAAAGAAACTGTTAGCATAGAATTTATGGTTACATCAGGCTAATTCAACTGTAAATTAATCAGATGTCATTGCCAGTTTAGTACTGTGCTCAAATTCAAAAAGTCATAGTGAAGATCTCATCTGAATAATTACCATGAAATTATTTATAGAAAAGGCACAGGGAGGCAACTTTATGGTGGTGGGAAAGTGACTGAAGCTGAGTCATCAGTTCAGGACCAATAATATTGTTGATTTTTGGGGATTTTATCAATGAGCTTAAGCTAGCAAGAGCACTGGCCCATATATAACAGCAATATTCTAAGCCTGGGCAAATGGTACACTTATAGATATGTAGGATAGATTCTGGGGAGAAAAAGGGTCTTGCAAGACACAGTGAATCAACTTCTGTTAGCCGCTAACCTACCAATGGATTCAATATAGTCTTTCCATTTCATGTTGACTTAGAACATTAGCCCAAGAAAGCACAATGAGTCACTGTCCTGGAGGTTAGCATCAGCCATGCTGATGGAAGGTACTCTCAGATGATTAATGGATATAGATGTATTTTTATTCTAACACATGAGAATAAAGGAAAGTGCAATGAATGTTAAGCTATTAAGATTATTCCAGACCAAATTTTTCTGAGAGTGTACCAGCCAGTTTAAATAACGCAAAATTTGCATTTAACAATTTAATGAAGTTTTGGTCAGCCATGAGAGTTTTTTTCTATTATAATTGTTCTTTCTACTTTTTCTATGTGCTGTGTCTCTTCAGTACATGGTGGTCATGACTCTCTACAACTTCCTATCCTTTGTAACTCTTAGCAAGTTTTTTCACTAACCCTCACAGTCCCTGTCAAGCCATGCATTTCCCCAAGCTTTTTAGGTAGGTTACATGCTGCTTTCCCCTGTCCCTCTTGTTTTCACTGTGAGTGTCAAATTCTCCAAGCCATCTTTCTTCATTACATATCTTGGCAATTTCAACTATTGCTTTCTGATTCTATGTATAAGTGTCCTTTTTATTTCTATTTTCCCTAAAATTTTTCACTGCTCGCATGTTCAGTCCATGGTATTCTCAGTATCTTTCTGTAGAACTACATTTTATTATCTCAGATTTTTTCTTTATCTATGAAAAGATTGTGAAGCATTCACTGCCATATAAGAGGACCATTATTACATAACAGTTCAGCATGCTTTCAGGAATTATTCTAAATATAAGTCTCTTTTTTGTTTCCATTTTTCTTAAAACTTCCTTGTTACTCACATGTTCAGTCCATGGTATTCTTAGTATTCTTCTACAGAACCATATTTATGGTGCTGGAACTATCTTTGTCATCACTGAGGAGATAGTTCAGAATTTTCTGCCATATCATAGGACTGATATTATGTAACAGTTCATACTGTTTTTCTTTGGGTCTAACAAAATTTTCCTGTTTCTTAATTCTTTACTTACATTTTGGAAAGTATCTTTCTTTATTCCAGTGTGATTTTGG